GGGTGTGGGTGGGTGTGGGGTGGCTGGGTGGGGTGTGGATGTGGGTGTGAGTGTGGGTGTGTGGGGTGTGGGTGGGTGGGGGCGGGTGTAGGGTGTGGGTGTCAGTGTGGACATTCTTCTCATCTACACGGACACCCACAGCCACACCCACACCCCCCCCATATAAAAATATATTTATATGCAAACTTCGAAAAAGGCTTAACAACTCTATCCCAAACCCATAAGATGTATTAGATGTTTCTTCTTTTTTAAATCATAATCATATCGCATAAATTGAAAAACTCTTTTAGACTCTATAAGAAATTCTTCTTCATTAGGGAAATCGGAGATTGCTGCAATATCAACACTGAATGGACCACACGGGTGAGCAGCACGAGGAAAATACTTGTTCATGCAATCGAAGATAAACAGAGTATTGCCAAATTGTTCTGCTTTCTCTCGACTTCTGGTGGTTGACGTAAATGCAGTAAAAGTTATCGTACCCTTCTTATTCATGTAATCTTTTCGTTGTTCATCCGTCAGTTCACATCCACGATAAAGTGTTATAATTTCATGTGTCTTATTTTTTTCTAAATATTGTTGAAGTAACCAACAGAATGGACCGATCGATTTTAATTGATCAATTGTGATATTAGAAATATCACGAAGTAGTTTGTTAACAAGTTTGTACCAGAAGCATTCTTTTGTGTAGAGGTAAACACACATTTGACCGATTTCAACAGGCATAATATGACACCAATCTGCTGGAATTCTGTTCCCGTAATATTTGACTGTAAGTAACTGTCGAGCTAACCATTCGGCTTCCTTTGTTTTTCCAAGTAAGCTGCCCTCCTTCATTATTCCTTCTGCAGTAGCTTCCACAACATCACTAAAAACTTTGGAAGTCTTTTCCAGTTCTGATTTAAAATAGGTACCGACAATATAGCTATGAGATCTTAAATGATTTAGCATATCGCTATCTGTAGTTTGTGATCCATCAATTGATGGTGTCGACCTTGTAACTGCTAGAGTTATTGGAAACGAGAATCTTGCTTCTCTAAAGTGCACATGACTACGATCATTTTCTGATTGAACACGTTTGATAGGTCTCTGTTTGTCTTTCTCATTTTTCTTGTATTGAATCTGATGCTTAAGATTGATCACCCAGTCACCATCGATTTCCACCTGAAGTAGTTCCTGACTATATGCATCTTCAATAATTTCATTCTCAACATCTGTGTATTCCATCCATTCTTCGGCCGATGACCAAGGATCGACAGCTGAGTTCCAGTACCACTGAAAATTCTTTGGACGAAGAAGGACAGGGAGACGATTTGAAGAAGCATAAGCCATTTACTATTCTTTTGCTTACACTTTTTTTTGAAAAATAATATATGTTAGGCAGTTTCTTTTTTTCTCTTCTGCTGTAAGAAAAAGCGTGCGCAGTACTGTTATGAAAACAACAAAAAATCGTTAACTTCTTTTTTCTTCCTTTCACTTTATGGTTCGTTTTTATTTCTACTCCTAGTCATACTTGAAAAAGAAAGAAGCATGAAAAAAGGGTATGGATGGGATGCGGGTGTGGATGTGAGTGTGGGGTGAGTATGGGGGTGGTTCTTGTCTACACCTACACCCACATCCATCCACACTCACACCCATTTTGTGTAATATGAATGTACTGATGGAGAAGTGCTGAATTTGATCAGGCTCTGTAAGACAATTTTCATGGAATGAAGTAAAATCATCATTTGATTGATAATGAACCATATCATCAGTATCTGATTCATCACTTTCATTTTCCACTTAACCAAAATAAATATCTATATTATTATCATTATCATCGGCATTATTATGTGGTACTGTGCTTTCACATGAACACATTAGATGATTATTTGAAAGTTGATTAGCAGGTTCAGTTGTTGCTTCTGTAATTAAATAAGGTGGCAGCCTTTACGCAAGATTGACAATTTTTTGTTTACGTAAATTGTCACTTCTTGAATTACGTCGTTGTTGGCTTTGGTATTCGCCATTTTCCGTCGCCAATGTAAGTTCAAGATCCATTTGATCCTAGACGAGCAAAAGCTTCTACAGTCTGAACGAATGATAATCCAAAAATACTCACAGTCAGTAACGTTTAGAAATCGAGAAATTTGTATACTTTTAAAATTTTATATAAAAAAAATATGAGACTCACTTTTCGTTTTAATAGGCAAATATATGTTGGATTGGTTGTTGTATTTTAATGGACTCACTTATTTTGTTAAACACAATCTGAAAGAACCCACGAAAAAAAAATTGAAAAAAATTTCGTTTCAAAGCGTTCTTTTCTTAGGTCACATGTTTTCGCTAGATGTTTAACAGAGTTTTAAAAATGCTTTGAAACATGTCTTTTCTCCACTAAAACGCAGACGACCAATTAGAAAACGCGCGTATTAAATCACGTTTTATTGGTATAAAACACAACTATATATTATTTTCACGCGTTCAAACGGTGTATCATTGTTATACAAGAACATGCTCGAGCGATTTCCTCTGACCTATTCTGAGAGTATTCTATTTAGATATAGTTGGGTGTGGGTGTGGGTGTGAGGGTGGGGTGTGGGTGTGGGTGGATGTGGGTGTGGGTGGGTGTGGGTGTGGGGTGGGTGTGGGTGTAGGTGGGTGTGGCTGTGGATGGGTGTGCGTGTGGGGTGTAGGTGTGGGTGGGTGTGGCTGCGGGTGTGGATGGGTGTGCGTGTGGGGTGTAGGTGTGGGTGGGTGTGGGTGATTGTCTTCAGTTTAACCACACCCACACCCACCCCACCCCACACCCACACCCACCCCACCCCACACCCACACCCATCCACCCTCACGCTCACGCTCACACCCATCCACACCCACACCTACACCCACACCCTCCCTGGTCAACTTTTTACTCCACTGTGGTCCCCCTCAGGGATCGAAAAAAGGGTATGGGTGTGAGTGTCAATTTCGTTTTTAGTCACACCCACACCCTCCCAATTAATTAATCGCTTTTGAGTTGAAACTATGTACATCATATTGACATAAATAAGCTACAGACATATTACAAATTTACGGTAGTTTTTAAACGAATGCATTAGTTCCTCTTCAGAAAAATTGATTTTCGAATTGTGACTTGAAACTCGATGTAAAGACAGGGCTTAACGTTAGTGATTTGTTGTGAACGTTTCAAATCTTTTGATTAGCTTCTATGTTGACATAAGAAGGTCGAATTTGTTATTAGATATAAAAGACAAGTTTTTACTATACTTTTATCTTAAGATAGGAGCAATGGCAAGGTCTGAAACATTTACAAGAAACTAGTTTCGTTAAGATCTGTCTCTATGGAGAGTTCTAAGTCAAAATTCGAAAATTAGTTTTTATGATATTTCTGTAGGGCATCATGATTAGAATTCATCGAGTTCAAAGTTTTCGAACCCGGGACCAATCGGACGGGCTCGAACTACGACATTCATTTAAGAACTACCGTAAAACTCTAGTATCTTGACAGCAATAAGCTACGGACTTGAACTGTCTTCAGGATATTCTTAGCTCATTTGATTCTACAGAATACAAATAGTCTAGTTCAATTCTTGAATTTGTCTTTAATATTGTGGACTGAAACAACTTTGGATACTATAAATGGTAATGATCGTATTGAATCAAC